ATTACAGGTGCCCACCACCATGCCTGGCTAATTTTTTTTTTTTGTATTTTTAGTACAGTCAGGGTTTCACTGTGTTGGCCAGGCAGGTCTCTAACTCCTGATCTCAGGTGATCTGCCTGCCTCGGCCTTGCAGTGTTGAGATTTCAGGCATGAGTCACCGTGCCTGGCCAGTCATGCCATCTGACCCCTCTGTCAGCATAGAATATGGACACTGTTTCTATTCTTTTGGTGAATACTCAAGACCGGGGGTCCCCAACCCCTGGGGCTGCAGACCAGTACTGGTCTGTGTGTGGCCTCACAGCAGGCAGCAAGCAGCAGGAGAGTGGGCGTCACCGCCGAGCTCTGCCTCCTGTCAGATCAGCATCGGCATTTGATTCTCATAGGAGCACAAACTCTATTGTGAACTGTGCCTGCGAGGGAGCTGGGTTGTGTGCTCCTCATGAGACTCTGACTAATGCCTGATCATCTGAGGTGGAACAATTTCATCCCAAACCATCCCCTACCCCCACCCCGGTCCATGGAAAAATTGTCTTCCATGAAACTGGTCCCTGTTACCAAAAAGGTTGGGGACCACTGCCCCAGACGATACAATATACACTTTTAATTTATTACTATTCACTAATGAGCTCATTTATACCGTCATCCTCCTTCTGGGAAATGCAATGACCTTGGAACACTTTAACATGATTTCTCCTCACTCAGTGTGTATTGTTGTCATGAATTTTAATTCTACAGATTTTTTTAAACCATTTCACAGGGCTGTATACATTATTTCTTTATATTTCATTTTCCCTTCCTGCCTTCTTACGTCTTTGATCTTACATTTCTCTCTGACTTGAAGCTGATCCATAACATCTCTGTTAGTATGGGTCTGCTATTCATTATTTAGCCGAATTGCCTTTATTTTGCCTTCCGTCGTAAAGAGCATTTTATCTGCGTATAAGACTTTAAGTTGGCGGTTGTGTTCTTTTTTGTTTGAGGTTTTGTTTTTTGTTTTTTGTTTTTTTCTTTTCTTGGCAGTTTTCTTTTAGCACATTGAAAATGTGATTCCACCGTTTTCTACCTTTCATTGTTGTTTATGAGAAGTCAGCTGTCAGTCTACTTGCACTGTCCCTAATGACAATCTGTTTTTTTTTCTTTTTAAGATTGTCTCCTTGTGAATAATTTGTGCAGCAGCAATAGAAAAAGAAAAAATAATTAAGGTTGTCTCCTTGTCATTGACCTGCATTTCCAACGTTTGTTTGATGTGGCTTTGTTTTTATTTTTCTAGCTAGTGAATGAATCACTGGGATCGCTGAGCGTATGGCTTGATGTCTTTTATCAGTTCTGGAAAATTCTCCCCCTTGCCTTCGTGTCTCCTTTCCTTCTGGCCCTCCACGTCGTGACTTGTTTGGTCATCTCACTGTTCCCGTTATGTCTCATCCTTCCTTCTGTATTCTCCATCTTTTTGTGTCTGTTCAAAACTCTGCATAGTTTCTTCTGATCTTACAGTTCCAGTTCATAGGTCTTCCTTCAATGCATCAAGTCTGCTCTTAAATCTATCCAGTCAGTTCTTAACTTCTGTTGGTTACTTATGTCCTATTCATTTGGTTCTTTAAATGTCTTTTGATTAAATAATTTACATTCCTGGTTAATTTTTTCATCCTAGTCTTTTTCTCTCAATTTTTTCATTGTGATAAAATACACCTAACATAAATTTAATATCATAGCCATTTTTAAATGTACAGTTCAGTGATTAAAGTACATTCACATTAATGTCTAATCATTATCAACATCCACCCACAGAGCTCTTTTCATCTTTCATAATTGAAACTCTAATCCCATTAAATAGTAAGTCCCCATTCCCCTCCTCCTTCATACCTGGAAACCATCTTTCTACTTTCTGTCTCTATGAATTTGACTCCTCTAGGTACCTCATATGGGCAAAATCAGATAGTATTTGTATTTTTGACGAGCTTATTTTACTTTGCATAATGTCTTTAAGGTTCAGCCATGTTGTAGCCTGTGTCAGGATTTCCTTACCCTTTTTTTTTTTTTTTTTTTTTTTTTTTTTTCTTAAAGACAGGGTCTCATTCTATCACCCAGGCTGGAGTGCAGTGGCATAATCTTAGCTCACTGCAACCTCCACCTCCCAGGTTCTAATGATTCTTGTGCTTCAGCCTCCTAAGTAGCTGGGATTACAAGCATGTGCTACCATGCCCAGCTAATTTTTGTATTTTTAGTAGAGATGGGTTTTTGCCATATTGGCTAGGCTGGTCTTGAACTCCTGACCTAAGGTGATCCACCTGCTTCAGCCTCCTGAAGTGCTGGGATTACATGTGTGAGCCACTGTGCCTGGCCAGGATTTCCTTATTTTTTAAGGCTAAATAATATTCCATTGTATGGACATGCTACATTTTGTTGACCCATTCCACCTCAGTGGACACTCAGGTTCCTGCCAGCTGTTAGCTGTTGTGAATAATAATGCTATGAACATGTGTGCACAAATACAAATCTCTTCAAGGCCCTGCTTTTGATTATTTTGGTTATAGACCCAGAAGTGGAATTGCTGGGTCATATGGTAATTCTATTTTTAATTTTGAGGAATCGCATTGTTTTTCACGGCAGTTGTACCGTTTTCCATTCTCACCAACAGTGCACGAGGATTCCAGTTTCTCTACATCTTCACCAACACTCGTTCCTTTCTTGGGTTTGTTTTTTTAGTGGCAGTGATGTTGAATGTCTTTCCATGTGCTGCGTGGTCATTTGTGTACCTTCTTGGGAGAAATGTCTATTCAAGTCCTTTCTCATTTTTGAAACAAGTTTTTTGTTATTGTTGAGTTTTAGGAGTTCTCTCTATATTCAGGACTAATCCTTTATCAGATATGCAATTTGCAAATATTTTCTCTCATTCTGTTTTCAGGTTGCCTTTTTACTCTGTTAATATTTTGATGCACAAAAGTTTTTAATTTTCATGAAGTTCAATTTGTCCGGTTTTTCTTTTGTTGCCTGAGTCTTTGGTGTAATAGCAAGAAATCACTGCCAAGTCCAATGTCATGAAGCTTTTGCCCTATGGTTTCTTCTAAGAGATTTATAGTTTTAGCTCTTATGTTTAAGTTTTGGCTCTATATTGAGTTAATTTTTATATATGGTGTGAGGTAAGGGCCCAGCTTCATTCTTTTGCATGTGGAAGTCCAGTTTTCCCAGTTTTCCCAGAACCATTTGTTGAAAAGACTATCCTCACTAATGGTCTTGGCATGCTTGTGAAAATCATTTGATTATATATTGAAGGTTTATTTCTGGGTTCTGTTTTATTCTGTCTTGATGCCAGTACCATGCTGATTACTGGAGATCTGTAGTAAGTTTGGAAATCTGGAAGTGCAAGTCCTCCAATATTGTACTTCCTTTCCAAGTTTGTTTTGACTCTTCTCCTGATAAAATTCTAAAGTTTGCGTTGATCTCTTTGAACCTAGTTATTTTATGTTCTGAGTCTGATCATTCTAGTATCTGCTGTTTCTCTCATTCTGTCTATTCCTTTTGGTGGCATCTTGCTTCCTTGGGTGGCTGATTATCTTTGATTGTGTCCTGGATTGTGTATTTGAAAAATTATTTGCAGGAATAAATTGAAGCCATCTTCCTTCAGAGAGGGTTTTTCTTTGCTTCTGTGTGGAAGGCAGGGGTGCTCCCTCTGTGTGGAAGGCAGGGTGCTCCCTCTGTGTGGAAGGCAGGGGTGCTCCCTCTGTGTATAAGGCAGAGGTGCTCCCTCTGTGTGGAAGGCAGGGGTGCTCCCTCTGTGTGGAAGGCAGGGGTGCTGCCAGTCGGGGACTATCTTAGTTCCAGTTCCAGGATTCACTCAAAGGGGAAGTACAGAGGGTCTTTCTAAAAGCAGGGTTCTGGGACATTCTTCCTGGTGGCAAATCGTGACGGTGTAGAGCTGAGCACTGAGGCCAGCAGCTCATTCACCTCGGTCCCTGCACCCTATGAGGTCAGAGCCAGTGCCCTCATCAGCTCAAGCTGCATCGCTCGTAGGCACCAGAAGTCTACTTTGCACAGTTCTGGAGGCTGGAAAGTCCAAGGTCAAGGCACTTCAGCCAGCCTCAGTGACCGGGGAGGGCCTTCTTCTGGGTCATTGATGGCATCTTCTTATGTACCTCCAGTGGTAGAAGGCAGCTCTCTGGGGCTCCTTTTATTAGGGTGTGAATCCCATTCATGAGAGCTCCACGTTTATTACCTCACCACCTCCCAAAGGCCCCACCTGCTAGCACCATCTCTTTGGGAGTTAGGGTCTCAATGTAGGAATTTGGGGAACACAAACATTCCAGCCATGGCCCCTCCTGTAAGTAGGAAAAGCAGAGCACAGAGAGGTGGGCAGTGAAATTGTCTCGTGGACGTGGCAGCGGGCGTGGGGTCAGGGTGGGGCACGTGCCTCTCACTGCAGAGGTGCCGCTCAGAAGCCTCCTGGGGCCCCCCACTGCTGGCGGCCGAGCACAGCTCCCCTATTTGACCACTGCAGCCCCTCCAGTCTCCCTGGCCCTTCTGGCCCCTGGCCATCCCCACCTGCGCTCTATGCGGCACCCTCCCCTGAGCCCACCTGGTGTGCCCTGCTCACCTTTCCAGGCTTAGCTCAGATACTGGGGCTTTGCCTTGCCTCCTAGGCTCCGGCTGGAGCAGAGCTGAGCAGTAGTAGCTGCTGGGCAGGCCCAAGGCCCCACTGACCAAGGCCAGGGCGCAAAGGGGGGCTTCCCTACCCCCACAGAGGCGACTGGGGCTGGGTACTCTGCAGAGCATCGGGTACTGCACGCAGGTCAGAGCCTGTGCCCTGAGCACACAGCCTGGCAGGAGAGGGTGCAGCAGGCCTGGTGGTCCCATCTCAGGGACGGGCTGTCAGGCCACCCTGGGGATGCCCTGCCCAAGGCTGGCTTCCCCTCAGAGGATGCCTGGCAGCGGAGGCTGGGGTGGCTGCCGGGCCACCTGCCTGCGCACAGCCCCATCAGTCCCCGCTCCGGCCTTCTGCCTCCCAGGTAAACAACAACGGGATCATCTCCTTCCTGAAGGAGGTTTCTCAGTTCACCCCGGTGGCCTTCCCCATCGCCAAGGACCGCTGTGTGGTGGCGGCCTTCTGGGCAGACGTGGACAACCGGCGTGCAGGCGACGTGTACTACCGGGAAGCCACCGACCCAGCCACGCTGCGCCAAGCCACGGAGGATGTCAGGCGCTACTTCCCCGAGCTCCCGGACTTCTCTGCCACCTGGGTTTTTGTTGCCACCTGGTACCGAGTGACCTTCTTTGGCGGCAGTTCTTCATCCCCCGTGAGTCCAGGCACTGGTCCTGGGGAGGGGGGATGTCTGGCTAGGATCCAGGGTCTCCCCACACCAGGACCCCACTTGTGGAGGTGGGTGGGGTACAGTCACTGGTCCATACCCAAGAGGGGAACATGTGGTCAAAACCACAGAGCCAGAGTAGAAGAGGACACAGCCCCCACCTTCCCCAATGCTCCTGGAAGCCACCTGCCTCTGGGAAACACCAAATGCCCCAAAGCAGCAGCCCGCATGTCAGGGAGAGGCGTGTGGGTTGATAGAGTTAGGAGAATTTCCATTTGGAATGGCCCAGTACACAAAGGTTAAACTGGAAGGTTATTCTTCTTATTCTCTATTCCTTGATAATGCCAAACGTGACAGAAATGTTGACTCAAGAATAATCACCATGTTGCAGGCTTGATGAGTTCTGGTGAGCTGATACTCGCTAATGAGGACAGCTGGCCGCTCTGGTGGCAGATGTTTCCTCAGCAGCTACAGTGGCCGCTCTGGTGGCAGACGTGTTTCCTCGGCACCTCCGGTGGCCGCTGTGGTGGCAGATGTGTTTCCTTTGCAGCTGGGTGGCCGCTGTGGTGGCAGATGTGTTTCCTCTGCAGCTGCCGTGGCAGCTCTGGTGGCAGATGTGATGGCTCTGCAGCTGTGGTGATGGTTCTGGTGGCAGATGTGTTTCCTCTGCAGCTGCAATGGTGGCTCTGGTGGCAGATGTGTTTGCTCTGCAGCTGTGGTGATGGTTCTG